TTGAATACAACATTCTGATTGGCTAATTTGAGTTTCACGCGCGTGAATTTCAAATTGACGCAGATTCCAAATTCACGGGCACAACTATATTTTTATTGGCACTTGGTGTTGTTCAAAAATTTGTTCAGAATCCAAGACGACAACAAAATGTGTGGCATGTATGGCTTGGCTCTGAAGACTAACAGGAGATACTATTTTTTATCTATATTGTCTTATTAACAAAGAAAAAAAACTTGGGCAAGCAGGTTAATTCTACGACTTCCTTAGCTGACAGAAATTAAATCAAGGAGCAGAACTTCCTGGGTAATTATCAAAATTGGTATTTGCTTTTTATAATCATTAATAATATCATTAATATTAAATATACAATCACATTTCAAGGCAGCACAACTGGTTCACGACTCAATGTTCAAGTATTTCTTGCATCCATTTTGAATCAATATTATCTAAAGAATCTCGATTATCAACTGAAAAACACATCATTACTACATGTGTATCTGCATATGATAGAGTTCGAAGACGATCAAATTCTTCTTGACCTTTTTTCAATTTTGGAAAAAATAAACAAATTTTTGATTCAATTCATATGTATAAAAATAACCCTCTTATCATATATTCCACGCCTCAAAATACCTGCTGTATCCCATAACGATAATTCAATTTGTTGGTTATCAATCCATATGTCATACACATAATTTTCAAACACCGTTGGTTCATAAACCTAATTGTTATTATTATTTATTATTATTATTATTATTATTGTTAAAGGTTAAGGGTTAATGAGAAATTAATTGTTGGTTAGTTACTATAGTGAACTAATTGACAACCTGTGAATCATTTCACGAAATAATCGACTAACCTGTGGAAAATAACCTCTTGTGAATACATTTAATAAAGACGTCTTGCCACAAGCGCCATCACCTAACACCACTAATTTACGTTGCAAAGGTTTGTTTTTAGCAAGAGGCCAACAAGGCATGATTGTTGTTGTTGTTGTTGTTGTTGTTGTTGTTGTTGTAAGTTATTTTAATTTATTAATGACAATTATTATTATTCTCTTATATTTATTTATATTATTAATGTTAATAAGATTAAAATATTTTGTTGTTTTAGTTTGGTGAAATTAAATAAAAATGAAATGAAATGGTAAATGGATCACTTTTTCTGCAAAGTTATATGGTTTTTTTTTTTTTAAAAAGGAGAATTACTAGAATTTCTACTTGGCAAAAAATTGCATGTAAATAAAAAAACAAACCAGTCAATCATCGTCGTTTCTAGTACTATATATATTTTAGTCAATTTTTCAGAGTTTATTTTTATTTTTATTTCATTTGTAAATTCTCTTTGTCCAAAAAAAAAAGAAATTCAGGTTTTTATTATTATTATTATTATTATAATGGTTTCGCTTATTTTCGGTCCAAACAGTCTTATACAATTCACTATCTAGCAAATCTGGCTTTTGAAATATTAATATTAATAATATATGTAATGTGATAATGTTTTAACCGAACGTTACAAAAACGTCAGATGTTAAAATTTTTTTACGGATCACCTATTCCCTATAAGGAATGAATTTAATATTATGTGAAAGGAGGGACTCTCATTAGTATATCAAATATTAATATAATATTGATTTCCAACAACCAAAAAACTAATTCTTATTGGCTGATATGAAGGAACGAATTTGTTCTAATGACAAATTTAGAAACGATCTTCTAAAATTTACCTAACATCCTGTGCGAACAACGAATTAAGCAATATGTAAAAATAGCCATTCTTTAAAATGTGGCGAGCAAAAAATCCATTGTGGTTCTGTTCTACAAGGCTTAAACTATATATATTTTTAAGACTTTGTTAATAAAAAAATGTATTTGATTACCGCCCATTTTATTAATACTAATACGAGCTGATCCTATTACTATTACTACATTGATGGTAGAGTAGTAGATCAACTGGAATTAATCTAGACGACTTGTCTATAATAACTGCGCAAAACTTGTAATATTCACGACGTAATAATGAATACAAGTATAATAATAACAATTTCGTCCGAAAATTTTCTCCAATGATGGGATTTTTTATGATTATTAGAATAATAAACCAAAATTTTTATTTTTAGAAGACGGAGTGTAATTTTGATTTTATTCCCCTTTCAACGCTTGTTTCGGCAATGAAAGTTATAATAAACCCGAAACCCTTCAAGTTGAAATTAGATTTCATATAAATAATTAATAAAATGAAAATGTACGTACGACCCCTATATATTAAAAATTACGCCCAAATTGCATACCGAACTAATGTTAATCAACACAACGCGTGTTGTTTCGCGCTACAAATTTTTTGACACATATACACGACACGGGTAAACTCAATAAGTCGGTCTTCTCAATTGGTTGTTTAAAGTACTTGATATTATAATATAAATAAATGACCGACTTACCGAGTTCATTCATAATTTACCTTTGTATTGATTAACATTATAAAAACATAAAATTCGTTGAAATGCGATCAATTTTATTCTGTGTCCCATAGATTCGTTGAATAATCAGACGAGATATCTACCTTTTGAAGTTCTTTCAATGAACAACGTCCATGTACAATATAGTGTTCACTGTATAAACAACATAACCGAAAACAAGATTTAAAGATTGTTGGTTGAAAAACACTCTTGAAAAAACATAATAAATAGTGTTATTTAAAATGAATTCAACCTTGGCAAAATCTTATACAATGTTTGAATGGTTTCTTCAAGATCGATCACAATCTTATCTTTTTAAAATAAAAAAAAAGACATTTCATTGGTTGGTTACTTTTTAGTAAAACATTTACTGATATTGATTATTGGCATTAAAAAATAAGAAAGGATCAACAAACAAAAACCTTTGTCCAAAATAATGCAAGTCAGAATGAGCCAAATTCCCAAAAACAAGTCAGCACTTCTCGTATTAACTAAAATTCAGCACTCCCCTTTTACGTTAGAGGCATTAAAAATTGTGTCCGTAATAATAGCATGTGTGACAAGATTCTTCACTCTGATGATATTTCCAATCATGCAGCGATAACAGCAGCAATAATTTTATTAGTATTAGATGTAAATTCGGTGCCAGTAGTTGCTGTGTCGTTGGTAATGGCTAAAACATTTACAAAAGTTGATGGGCTATATATCTTAATATAGGCCGGCTAATCAATTTATTGTTCGTTCATACTCAATATGTCCTTTACCAATTCCCTATTTTGTCAAATATTCATCCATTATTTACTATTACCATTATTACAGTTATACTTTTGATGTTATCTTCGTTTGTTTCGTTTATTTTCACCTTGTAGAATTAATCATATTGACACTAAAGTTGAAGTGGTGGTAATATAACCATAACCTCTATTGTTCGTTATAAATAAAGAAAAAATCAATGTAAATAAATTTGACTGACGTAATTTTCTGAACTATATAAGATAG